AAGATAGAGTGGAGCTCGAGGGCGTACTCGTACTCAAGAGACCCGGGCTGATTGAAGTGTAGGCGTTGACGAACATCTGCCTCATGTCGGCTTCGAAATCAGCACGGGATGCGTAAAACCAAGAGTCGAGCCGATTGAGTATCATCGATATATCGACTGGAATAGTGATCACCTCGTAGTAACCAGGAACCCATTTGGGGACAGGCTTCATGAAAGGCGCAGCCAACTCCTTGTTCATGCGTACCATGTGCTGGACCAACCTCCGGTACTCGTTACGCTCGAACTCGGGCATGCCCGAAGCATGAGGAGCACCACCACCAGCAGCAGCAGTCTTCTTTCTACCTCGTCTAGACGTCTTCTCAGGCGTACTAGTACTACGAGACCCTGAAGAGCTGCTTGGGGTAGCCTCGGACTTACTAGTTGTAGTGCAAGAACGCCTCTGACAGGAAGGTATGATGAGGTTGAGGTCGACCTTGGATGCCGAAGAGGTACGGGTCTTCTTCCGAACTGGAGCTGTGGTGGTCATGCTGTCCTCCACGAGAGAGTAGCCGGTGTCACAGATCAAACCAGAGATGAAGTCCACCTCGAAGTCAGAGAGTAGGCAATGTCCAGCGCTGGTCGAGTGGCGATCGAAGCTTGGCTGAAGAGCAGAAGAGCATAATCAACACCATCACCGAGGAAGCTCTCTATAACGAGGCGAACCTCAACAGTAGATAATTACAATCATGCCTACACTTCCATCACCACTCGCATAACCACCGACAACACATCATACTAGTATCAAGACGATAGCCTCAAACGCTCGCTTGAAAACCACAAGGAGGCATGACAAGCCTTACGTTGAAATCCGCACCAGTCTCTGTGCTGGCGTCTGACATTCCACACACCTTCGATGTCGCCATCGTCAATCGAGTTATCCAACAAGGGTTGTGTGGGGAACAGCACGCAGCTTGCATAAAATATGAAACGCTAAACAAAATCTCGCTACGCCATAGTGATCGATACATCACATATCTTGTGAAGATCGAATTCGTGACGAGCCGTTTCAACCAGCCGTTTCTTCTAGCATGAACAACCGAGACCTGAGCCACTCAGGCGTACCATGTTCAACACAAAGAGTAAACTGTGACGCTGTAGCAAATCTCCAACTTGTGCACGCGTGAGACAGAGACAATTCTTGATACCAATTGTGTTGTCGACGCTAGGCCTGGAGGGTCCGCTGAATCGCGCACAGAATCGGTGAATTCGCACTTCTCGTTATTATCTCTGATGGATTAGTCCAACAACCACTACTTTTATGAAAACACAACAGGAAAAGCGCCACTCCACCACAGTGGGCAGCGCAGGGAGATATGCTCTTTAAGTGTCGTAGAAAACAATGCAAACACAAGCAAGAACAGAACTGTTATTAATTGCATTATTGCTGAACAGCTAGCCAACCCAAGCACGCTGGTTGTGAACTTCTGGGAAAGAATTTGAAGAAAGATATTCTTACTCGAAGACTTCAACACTGTGGCCTTTTCGATACTCCTCCTCACTGAAGAAGTTCTTTCCATCAGCCTCTACATCTCCCCTGAAAACGAACACACTCACTACGCCACCACCGTCATCAGCCTACTCGTAATGTATGCGAACCAGCCAGCCGTCATGCTCAGGGTCCAAGTTGACCAAGTCGGGAGTGTCTTCAACCTTAACGTTTGTCTCCAATACTTCCGCAGCCGCAACCGGGCACAATCTGAGCAACGACCGGCATTTTCCAAAGTAGTGATTTTGGTGTCCATACACTTCCTCGACCGATTTCACGCTCTCAAGAGTACACAGCACTTCGTCTTTGTGAAACACCGAGCCAACCGTCGGCAAGTCGACATACCTGACAATCTCCCAGTACTCTCAAGACCCTCCCAGAGTGCACTTACACTAACTCGCCGATCTGGTCTTGAGCAAAGTTAGTGATGCCGAC